TAGTAATCCTTCTTCAATCAGTCTTATAACATATCTTTATGTATCTGATAACTACCTATATCTTCTTGCCCCCCTCTCTCTCCCTCTATTCTATTCTCTCTCTCCTCCATACTTCTCTGTCTCAGGTTCTCGTCCTAATTCTATGTCTATATTCATACTTAATCTCCTCTACCCCCCCCTCTCTCTCTCCTCCCTCATATCCTCTATCCTCCTCCTCTTAATCCTCTCTCGATTGTTCTCAGTATCTCTAGACTATGTACCCCCCTCTCTCTTCCCTCCCGTCTATCCCTATGTTACTCCGCTCTCTACCCTCTTTCTTCTCTCTACTTCCTGCTTTCTATGTCTCTTCTGGGTCGGATTAAATCTGTCCCAATTATCATCTTTCCCTCGACCTGTCTATTAGTCGCGCTGTCTGCCCCGTCTCATTTTCTCTCTCTTCCTCTCTCTCGTCTCCTCTCTCTCTCTCTCTCTCTTCTCTCTCTCTCTCTCTCTCTCTCTCTCTCTCTCATGCTCTCTCTCCTCTCTCTCTCTCTCTTCTCTCCTCTCTCTCTCTCTCTCTCTCTCTCTCTCTCTCTCCTCTCCTCTCTCTCTCTCTGCTCTCTCTCTCTCTTTCTCTTCTCTCTCTCTTCTCTCTCTCTCTCTTCTCTCTCTTCTCTCTCTACTCTCTCTCTCTCTCTCTCTCTTTCATCTCCTCTCTCTCCCTCTCCCTCTCTCTCTCTCTCTCTCTTCTCTCTCCCTCCTTCTCTCTCTCTCTCTCTCTCTTCTTCTCTCTCTCTTCTCTCTCTACTCATTTCTTCTTTCTTTCTCTTTTCTCACACCTTTTCCTCTCCCTCTCTCTGCTGGAACTTCACCCCCCCTCCCTTTACTTGTTCCTTCCTCACTATATCTAATGTATGTGTGTGTCTCTCCTCTCCCTCATCACAACACATATACACTTGTCTGTCTCATTTGTCATGCTGCCCTTTTTTATGTCTTACCCTTAAGTTTTGTGCCTCTCTCTCTCTCTCTCCTCTCTCTTCTCTCTCTCTCTCTCTTCTCTCTCTTCTCTCTCTCCTCTCTCTTCTCTCTCTCTCTCTTCCTCTCCTCTCTCTCTCTCTACCTCTCGCGCTCTCTCCCTCATCCCCTCTCCCCCTCTCTCTTCCCTCGCCCTCTCAGCACCCTCTACTCCTCTCTCCCTCCCTTCCCTCCATCCGCCCTCCTCCTCTCTCCACCTCCACCCCAACCTCCTCTCCTCCTCCCATCGTACCCCCTGCCCTCCCTCCCCTCCCTCTCCCTCTCTCTCCCTTTATCTATCCATTTAATATATTATTATATATATATATATAAAATATATATATATATATATATATATACTATATATATATTATATATATGGTGTGTGTGTGTGTGTTGTGGTGAGTGAGTGTGTTTGTAGTGAGTGTAGTGCTGTGTGTGTGTGTCGGTTTTTGAGTGTGTGTGTGTGTTTCACTCACTGTGTGTGTGTCTCCCGTCTGTGAATGTCCGCGCCCAGTGATGTGTGTGTGTGTTGTCGTCTTTCATCGGTGGTGTGAGTGTGTGTGTCCTTTTCACTATCTATCTCTCTCTATTCCAATCTACTATCCATCATCTATCTATTTGATTTATCTTCACTCTTTCTGAATGTGTATGTACTGGTGTATATGCACTGCAACATATGTACACTCCTTCCTCGTTCTCATTTTAGCTCTTTTTCGTCTCGGCTAGTTTTATGGCATACAAGTTTGATTAAAACTTTTTCTCAACAATTTATTTCCGACTCTCTCTCTCTTCTCTTTCTTTACTCACTTTCTCTTCTCTCCTCTCGCCCCCCCCCCCCCCCCCCTCCTCTCTCTCTCCTCTCTCTCATCTCCTCTCTCATCTTTCTCTTCTCTTCTCTCTCTCTTCTCTCTCCCTCTCTCCCTCCTCGCTCTCATTCTTTTCTCCCTCCCTCCCCCTACCTTTCCTCTCTTCTCTCTCTATCTCTCCTTCTCTCTCTCTCTCTCCTGTCTCCTCTCTCTCCGTCTGTCTCTCCTCTCTCTGTCTCTCTTCTTCTCTCTCTC